AACCACTCCCGGCTTTTCAGTTTTGCTGTGCAAAATACCTCAGTCTCAGTCAGTCCCATCATGCTCCTTCATTCTCCATTTTCTTCCGGGTCTCGTTAGGCCTTCAGGGACCCATGCACACTGACACTGGGGCACAGGCAGTGCCCCGAGAATTATGATTCTGCTGTGCTTGCCTTGCTCACACTCACTGTTTCTTTCAGGGAGAAGACGCCGCCACGACCTCAGGGCCAGAGGCCCGAGCCAGAAAACAGAGGGGTGAGCAAGGAATGAGTGGCCTCTGGGGCGTGGGCGGCACACTTCTGTTTTCCAGCAGGGTGTGGTAAAATGCACATCGCTTCATGCTCTGTGGCTAGTAGGGGCCTTGGGAAACAGGCCGGAGCACCAGAAGACGGAAGACTGGGAGGCTTGCCCATTGTTCAAAGACGCCCCTTGGTTCTGAGCTCTGCTCCCCTCCTTTTCCTCTGGGGACTCACTGGCCCTTTGAATGCCCCCTGCATCCCAGGCCATCTCAGTAGCAGAGGCACCATCTGCATCACTCCCATCCGCACGTGATGTGCCGTTTGTGCACGCTGGTGGTGAGGTCTGCACGGTGCATTCTGGCCTACTGAATCCAGACTTCTGAGGGGAATGGTTTTGCTTTCTGCTTGCAGAACTTGGTAATGTGGATTTTGAAACCCTCTGGGTATGTGTAGGCAACCATGCATCCATGTGGCTAGGATCGCGCATGTCTCTGTTGCTGGAGAAGGAGCAGGGTTGTGTAAGGGTACAGTGAGCCACAGGGGTTGCAGGCAGCAAACTGTGATAGGCTGCAAAATGTCCTGCCAAGGAGTTGGAGAGCATGCATGACCTGATGAAATAATTGCATATGTCCATGCAAGTCTGCTTGGAGCCTCCAGGGTCTGCCTGCGGGCCTCATCGCTTCAAACAAGCAGCTCTGTTGGGTGTGATTAAGGATCACTTCACTCTGGATACTCCCTCGAGTGCTGGAGCCTTATTAAATCAGTTGCTGAACATCAAGAGCACCTCTTGAGCACGTGCTGCCATGGCTGAAACTTCAGAAGCATGCATTCTGCTTCCCGAGAGCAGAGCTGCAGAAAGCGCTTAGATGGCCACTATCATTTTAGGGCCTGCTGGAAGTATCAGCTGCATGGTCTGTCCGGGTGGTAAAAAACAGGCTGGACTGTGGCTCTTTCTGAGCAGACACTCAGCCTTTCTTCTGGGGAGACGGTTGGGTTTGGAGGGAAGAAGTGTAGCAACGTTTCGTGATGGTGTCGCAGCCATCTGCCCTTGATCAGCAAAGAGCACTTTTGGGTGGCTCTCCCTGCAGTTCCCAGCATTAAGCTCTAACAGAGCCATAGAAGAATAACTTCTCTATCCATTATTCACCTTGCTACTTATTTCACCTTTCCAAAAATAGGGCTGCCGGCGTGGTAGTTGCTGCTCTGTGGAACTGCTTTCTTAAGGGTTAGGGCCAGGGCCCCTTCGCGCAGATCCTAGCAATCGCGACGAGACTGAGTTTTCCTCTGTAAATGTCACACTTTGCTGAACAAACTTTGTTTCACCTCCCGCTTTCTTTCCAGGGCTTCCAGGGGTTTGGATTTGGTGATGGAGGGTTTCAGATGTCATTTGGAATTGGGGCATTTCCTTTCGGTATATTTGCAACAGCATTCAACATAAATGATGGCCGGCCTCCCCCAGGTACGCCAGGTGCGCCACAGCAGCAGATGCACAGCAAATCAGTGTGTGTGTGTGTGTGCGTGTGCGGGAGTGTTAACACACCCTTTGCAAGTTAATATTTAATTGTAATCAGACCATCCAGGGAATCATTGGTTTCTCTGTCCAATGTGGGAGTAACACATCAAAACCAGCCACCAGTGCATCGCATCTCTGCTGCTCTTCTGTAAATGAGTAATTTGCATTCCGATATTTCAGCTCTAAACACAGATAGACAAGTTATTTGTTTTCAAAACTTCGGTACATTGGGCACTGATTGTCTTCTGTTATTTAAAAAACTGCAAACAAGGTCTTTCTGCTGAGCAATTCACCCATGAAGTAATGCACGCCTGTGTGCTTCCTGCTGGGCTCGGGCCAGGGCTCCCATCTGGTGAGAAACCGGCTGAATCTCGTGGGGGCAGGGAGGGTCCTGGCTCTCAGCAGGACTGAGCAGGCTCTGGGGAGCCCTCTCCCTGGACAGTGAGCAGAGCCCTTTCACAAAGCTGCCACAGCAAACTTTTTGCGGCCAGTGACATGCCATGTCAGTCTTACTAAACTTGCTTTTTGTGTGAGGATTCAAGAAGAAAGCTAAAAATCCTTCCGGATTGTACTGAACTAATTTTTACTATCAGGTGTGTGCTACTGACTTGTTGTAAACTGCCCAGAGAGCTTTGGCTATGTAGCAGTATAGAAATGACATTACTAATAATAATGTGTATATGAATGATTATAATGACTGCTGTTATGAAAGAGCTTTCACTCTCCTTGCAGACTGAGAGGGATTTCTCTCTTTAACCATGCCAGGTGTCTTTATAAGAATAAAGGAGCACTTTATAAACCTTGAACTGTGCAAAAAATCTTGAATAGTTCCTTTGTTTTTCCAGGGCACCTCTGCTTTTGCCCACTTCTTCACAACTTGTTCTTGCTAGGGAGTTGTGACAATCCAGATTGTAAGGACTTCCCATTATAAGGGCCATCTTCTAATGAAGAAGACGCTTGTGGGTTAATTTCATGCATAGCTTTTGGATCTGGAGATGGACCATGTTCAGCTTGTGGGTTTTTTGAAGGGAAATAGGTAATGACGCCTGTCCTTTTCTGTCTTCCTAGCTGTTCCAGGGACACCTCAGTATGTGGACGAGCAGTTTCTCTCCCGCCTCTTCCTGTTCGTGGCCCTGGTGATCATGTTCTGGCTCTTGATTGCTTAGCTTGGCTCCGGCCTCATCCTGTGCCACAGCCTGTGGGGCTCTGGCCGGATCACAGGCTACTTCCTCTCCCTGTCCCACTGTCAGCCTCGTGGTGTCTGGGGTGATTGGTCATGAAGGGCTCCTGGAAGCTGCAGCCTTGCAGTGTGAGAAGAAACCTCACCAGAGATACGGAATCAAAGCTCTTCCTCACAGCCCTCTCCTGTTTAGCCGGCCTCATGGAACAGGCGCCCAGCCACACCTGGGGACTTGGCCTTGAGCTCCAAACTCCAAGAGGGACTCGTGTTTGAAACTATGTGCCAAGCATCCAGGGCAGGTGCTGGCCCTGGAAGGGAGAACATGCAACAGTTAGGAATGGACTCTTGCCATGTGGCCTAGCATCTTGCATCCCAGCTGCAGTGAGGGAGGATCAGTTGACCGATGGTCCAGACTTCAGTGGCATGTGTTGATCACAGTCCCGCTCGCTCCAAGACGCCTCTTCTTGTGCAGAACTTATGTAAAGCAGCACCTGCCTGAAGATGGAGTCATTTCAGGACTCTCGGGTTCCTGCTGTTGTCCACCCAAGTGATCGTGGACCGTCTTTCACCGTTTCCAATGACTTTAAAAGTGGAAGGATAAGAGAACCTTTGAGCTGAAAAAGTAAAATGCTTAAAATTATTGGAATCAGCTGGGGCAAGTTTCTCAGTTCCAGATTAGGGTGCGGCTGTTACACACCAGAGGGCTTCTCTGTGGCTGTCGCACAGCACATGTCCTCAATGAAAAAAGCAGTGTTTTCCTAAAGTTTGTGTAGCTTCAGCTTTTAATTTGGATAGATACAGCTGTGTCACCCATAACCAAGCAGGGTTTTCCACATCGTGAACACCTCAGTCGGGGAGGGTGGATGGTAACCTCTTCTTGAGTATCTGAGTATTGCAGCACCTCACACCTACCCCAGCCTATGGTTATACTTGTTATGTTCTTTTTTGTATGTTTGGCCAGGGCATACAAGATTTCTGCTAAAGCAGAGCTTGCTCATGCACTCTGAGCCAAGGGTCCATTAGTGTGTAAGCTTTTTTAAATTACCAAAGATATTCATTTGAAGACTAGAACTGTGGCCCAACCCAGCAGTAAGTTCTCTACACCAACCCCATTGAAATGAATAGGTGCCATACTCTTGGTGGCTTCAGTGGGATTTGTATAGAAGAGCATCCCCCTAGTTTATGCCGGAAGTCGGGTGGCTTGGAGAACAATGCACAGAGCAAATTCCCTTTGGGGGCTGCAGGAGTGAGAGGAGGGATCAGCGGATACCTCAGTTTGACCTTCTTGCCAATAGAAGGATGTTTTAGTCTTTATTGTGCATTGGGTTAATATTCTCCGTGCTGCTCTTGACAAAACAGGCTAGCTTGCTTACAAAAAATCAGAATAGTAATATTGAATATTGCTGAAGGAAGCTTGTTTTTTCTCCAGTTTCAGACCAGGCTTGGGGAGGCAGAACCTGGAAATACCTGGATGGTGCCACAGTCTGAATCTATACCATCTCACCCCACTAGGATAAGCATACATGAGGTGGAAATACCAGGCAGTGTGAAATTTCTGAGTCAGTTTTTGCAAGCATTAATGTGCTTTCAGTGTTGGGATGTGATGGCCAAGCAGCTTGTATGATTCTTGAAAGAGCAGTAGCACTGTAAGGTATCTCCCTTTTGTGAGCAATTCTTCTGCTGTGGTTTTGGAAAACGTTCCAGACCTTGACACCAAGTCAGCCATTCCCAACTTGGTGCCCTTCAGATGCATGGAGCCACAGCTCCAGCAATCCTCTAGCCAGGCTGAGAGAGACTGAGCAAGGGGTGATGCCTAGGTTTTTTACCACTTGGATTAGTTTTGTTGAGGAAAACAGCACCGCCTGCTGTTGACAAGGGAAGATTAAGCTGCATCGCTTAATGCGTAAGGGATTTTTTGTATTGCCTTTCTTCCATTTACTGTTCATTGAATTATGTACTGTGGAACTAAAGCTGTGTTTTAATTGGTTCAATAAAGGTCTTTATTGCCAGACACATAAAAATAAGATTTGTGGTAATTGGGGAGGAGATTTACAAAATTTGGATGGTTACAGCTTTAACTGATACTAGGGCAAATTACTTTGGGTCTCTAAGTGTGAAATTCTGTACTTTGCAAGCTGCATTCTTGAATGGATGGGGCTGGCTAGGCTAAGGGGCACAAACTCATCTGAGTTAAGATGCTGTGCTGGGTTGGGACCTGTTGATATGAACGTGGCTTGTGCTGCTGATATTCCTAACAGTGACATCTCAGTATAGGACGGAAACAACAAAAGCACATGGCACCTGCAAGATTAACAGATACATTGCAATTTAAGCCTTTGTGGATGGTAAAGCCCCTTGTTGAGATGCGTCTATTGAAGTTCTGTCTGAATTGGGCAGAAACCTCCTTAGCCAGACTTGTCCTTAAGCTGCCACAAGATCCGCAGCTCTTTCTGTAACAACGGGTTAACACAGCTAGTACTCTGGAATTTCATATTTCACTGGTGGATTTGAAACAGCCTCTGCATTTCTCCTTTATCTTGTCACCCCCCTGCTGTGTTTTCTGTTCTGTGTTATTTCCATCCCCCTTCATGCATCTAGATTGCACCTGGCTTGGGGTTAGTAAGAGCAAAGGCCCACTGGCAACACTGCTGTTCACTGACTCTGCTGTGAAAGTCGTTTGGAATAAATACGTTTTCATATCGTCCTGGGATGGCATGGAAGTCTCTTGTGTGTGCTGTTCTCTGTCATGGAGTGTTCACTTGAGGGGAGGTAAAGGAGTCGTGTTACTTGTGGCAGAGATTTCGCTTACCACCACTGGTCTTTGGTCTCACCATATTCCATTGGCAGCCTTACCCCGGCAGAAGTGCTCAGCTTGTCTCCTTGATCGAACACAGAAGCAGAGAAACCAAGCGAGTCAAAAGGGCCTCCCAGGCTATCTAGTCTTACCCGCAGCTCCTGCTGGTTCCACTCATGTCAGGCCTACCATGTGCACCAAAGAGTGGGAGCTGCAGCCCAATGCATTTGGATGCACCAGGTAAGGGGAGGCTACTAGGTATATCAGCAAGTACCTGGTAATTGCATCCGAGGGGCTTTCGCCTACATGCAACTTTATTGCAGGTGTTCTTGTGAAACCTTTGGCATTGCAGGGAGGGAGATGTTCTGGGACAATGAGGGGTTCTTTCCCCTGTGGCCTCCCCACCCCAAGTGCCTCTGGGCTCTACGGGGAGCTAAACCTGGGTGGTGCTGCTTGAGCTTAGCTGGGAACCTCTGGCTGCCGTGGAGAGGCTGCTATTCAGGATTGCACTGATTCTGATTTTTTCAATTTGCAGTTTATATCCTGCCTTTTTCCTACAAAGGGCTCAAGGCAGCTTACATCATTCTCCTCCTCCATCTTATCCCCACAACAGCAACCCTGTGAGGTAGGTTGGGCTGAGAGTCTGTGACTGGCCCAAAGCCACCCAGTGGGCTCCGTGGCCGAGCGGGGACTCGAACGCGGGTCGTCTGAGTCCCAGTCCCGTGCTCTTACCCACTGCGCCACACTGGCTGCCGTGGAGAGGCTGCTATTCAGGGTTGCACTGATTCTGACGTAGGGGGAGCTGCCGCTTCACCTCTTTAACATGAGGCAGGTGGCTCACTGAAGCTGCCAAGCAGCTGCAGCAGGTAACCTCAGGGCGTGAGACCCCTGAAGGAGCAAGTGGGAGGAGGCGACTATCTTTTTGCCTCATGCCTGGGAACAGGTGGGGGTTCCCAAGGGCTTGGCATTCACTTGGCATGTCTATGCCATGACTTCCATAAGCTGACTATAGGGAGAGCCCATGGCCAGGAGAGTTGTGAAAGAGGGTCTTCTTCAGGTTTTGCTGCCCATTCGGAGATCCTGCAGGAGCCCTCCACCTGGAAGCAGCCCTGGTCCAGACAGAGCCCCATCATTAGAGCAGAGGAGCCACCTGGCAGTTGTGCTCCATGTTGTCCGGACTGGCACTTGGTTGCGGCATGCACACATAATAGAGCAAGAGGGAGCTAACCCCAGCAGTTGCTGTGGCTGCGGTCAGTAGGAGGCAGCGGTAGCGAGTGGCCCCCAGCCTCTTGTCCCAGCTGCGATGCGACTTACCGTTCATCAGGCTAATCCTAAACGTAGAGAAAAGCAGCGATGGCTGCAACGTGAGAACCAACGTTTGTCGATCTTGTCTCTGGAGTGGCTGCAGCTCCCGGTGGATTCAGAAAGGGCTCCTTGCCAACCTTGCAGATATTAAGCCTGGGACTCCTTGCACGCGAAGCGGGAGCTCCGCTGCACTTAAAATTGGAGCGGCAGTTTGATACACCTTTGATCTCTTGCTCTTCTTTTAAAACAGCTGCCACAACCTGGCAGCCTCCAGGGGTGTTCGACTGCCACTCCCATCCTCCCCAGCCAGCACACCTGCTTTTTCCGCGTACTGCAAAGGGGCCCTATTTTAATGCCTGGTTAACGACGGCCTTCCCCAACCCGGCGCCGCCAGATGTGTTGGACTGCAAGCCCCACCATATCCGCGCAGCAGGGGTAGTATGATGAGCGTTGCAATCCAGCCTCTTTGGAGGGCGCCGCTTCGGGACGTCCGCTTCACCCTGGCAACAGCGGCTCACGGCGCCGCCTCCGCCCGCAGCCCAGAGGTGAGATCATCGGGCGGCTTCTCTTCCACGTGCAGCGGGTGAAGGGGCGGGAGCGGAAAGCTCTGATTGGTTCTCCAGAAGCAGGTGGGCGGGCACACGACGCTCGGGCGAAACAGCGCAAAGAAAAGGAAAGTCAGTCAAAGTGGAGGAGGCGGGCGAGAGAGCCTCTGCTCGCTTCCCCCATTGGTTGGAAATGACGGCCGCGGACGGGACAGCGTGTCCAGCAGGCGGCGGAGCGGGGATTGGCCGTTGGCACGGAGAGAGGCGGGGCGCGTTTCGCCTAGGAGGGCGGGGCACCAGACGATCCAGGTGCGGCGGCGGCGACGTCGTCGGGGTGCTCCGTGCTGCAGAGCGGGGGGATGTGGCCTACCCCGCGTTCCGTAGAGGCCGGGTGACGTCACGCGCGGGTGGGCTTCCTGGACGAGAAGGTTGGCGGCGGCCGGCCAGGGCTATGGACGGCGTTGTCGCCGCGGCTTCCGCCGCGCCGGCGGGTAAGACGGCCCGTTGCTGCAGCCGAGACTTCCTTTCCATGCCGGTCCCTTCCGCACCCGTTCGGAAGGAGTCGCTACCTGCTTCGGGGGAGGGGCCGGGATGGCGTTGCCTGGCAACGGGAACGGGCGGTGGAGGTGAGAAGAGTCGGCTGCGCCTGCGCAGCCCGGCAGCCTGTTTCCAGCGGCGGACGGACTTCTGGAAAAGTCCCAGGCAGGGCATGGCGACGATGGCCGCCCCTTCCTTCCATCCGGCTGTGCAGGCTGGCTCCCTCCCTTCCTCGAGGACTTGATCCTCCTTAGGAAGAGGTATCTGGATGGATCCAGTAGTTTGGCCCTCAGAGCGGAGTTCGTTCAGTTCATCCTTCCTGGGACTACAGGTCCCATCATCCGCAGCCAGTAAGGTTATGGGAATGGCCGAACGTGTAATCCAACATACCAGTGGGGCAGAATAAGTAAATGGCCTTACAGGTTTCAGTTAGTATTTTTAAACTTCCTTTTAGTTGTGATGATCCCCAGACCTGGCAGGGGCAGTCAGCTTTCAGCACTAGCTAGCCAATGTTCTGGCTCCTCACAAGCTGGGTGTGGAGGTGGCCCCAAGTTCCATTCCTTTATATCAAAGTTCTAGTTAGCTCTTGGTTGCTGAGCAGATGTGGGGTATTTTCAGCGTTTTCAACCATTGGAGGGGGAGGACTCTGCATGTTCTCAGATGTGTCCTGTTCTGAATATTTTTTTTGTTCTGGTGGGCCTTGTGGCAGCTGGCTTGTGAGATGAGAATGAGTCCTGAACTACCTGCCCAGCGGCAACACTCTTTGTGTCTCCACCTCTGTTGGAAGTATCTAATCTGTTCTTCATGCTTATGGTGCCTGTGGAGTATCTTACCAACTCCATCTGCTTGGGGGAGTGATGGAGTTGCTAGCTAGCCTTGGTGCTTTCTTGGCCCATAAGCCATGGGATGCTCAACTAATGGACTTAATTGGTGAAAAATCTTCTGATTTAATTAGTGGGGATGATCTTCAATGCTGATATGTGGGATATTAAGCTGGACTCCATAATGAGGATGTGGTGCATGACACTGACGTGTGTGCTATGAGCTATTAAATGGTCTTGGCCAGATCAGTTACTTACTTATGCCTGACCGGCATCCTTGTAAAACTGATGAGCTACTTGGGTTTAAGGGGCTACAGCTACAAAGCCACTCAAGTCAAATCAATAGCAGAGCCCTCATTTTAACAGGGCTGCTTCACTTCAGCTGGCCTAGAGCACATAGGCTCCTTTAAGAAAATATGGACCAGCTCACCATGGCTGGCTCTCCTGTGAAACCAGGTGAGATGCCCACATCAGGTAGCAGAGTGGGAGGAGCAGTGAATTGTGCTACTCCCCTTCCCTGGAGGCCCTGCTGCTTCCTATGAGTGCTCTGGAGAGCCCTGACAACTGCACTTCTCCGGTTCCATTTGCTGCAGTGAGAGACTAGTTACCTGCCTTCCTTTTTCTGTCCTCAAGTTGTGCGATTCTCTGTGTGATGAAGCAAACAGAAGGCAGCTTTAGGGGTTAGGGTTCTGGTAAGGTGGTGCAGGATATAGGTGGTGGGGCATGATGCAATGATGTGTGTTCTCTCCTAGCTCAGGTTTTGAGAGGACTTGTTCCAGAGCCTCATCTCTTTCCCTGACTATCTTCAGTTTGCTGGAGTTAAGGTTTTGGGCATTTGGACGCATGCTTGTTGGGGCTCTTTTCACACCAACCCAGTTGCCTTACAGGGTGCAATTGGTTGACGTGACTGAAATTGGTTTCTTGATGTATGCATGTGACTTTCACTGTTCTGGCAGTAAGTATGTGAGAGCTCTGTTTGTGCTTACTCTGAGACTTAGGTTATCAGCTGTCTGGGTGGTGCTGCTTGTGTTACATTAAGTGGTATAGGTGCCAACAGTTATGATAAAGCTTACAGAATTTGAAAGCCTTGTTTGTTTTAGTCCAGAAATTTGCAGACTGTGCGCCACCCACTTTCTGGGTAACTATGTTTGCTCCAAGTCCAGAGGCCAACTGCCTTGGTAAACCAGTTGTGGGGCAACATGGGAATATGAGCAGGAGGAAGCTGCTGTCTCTTCTATTCACTGTAGGAATGGAATGATATATTAGATAGCCAGTTTGATTCAATGTGTCTCTTCTGACCATCTTTCGTAAACGGAGTGCATACCTACAATGAACCACAGACTTTTTTGCCATGTGCAAAAAAGTTAGGATTGATCATGGGTAAATGAATGGCTTGTATAGTTATGCAAAAGCCTTTGGAAGGTCATCCAGTGTTAATCGCAGTTATAATGGAAAATTGCTTTTACTTTTCCTGTAGGACATTTTCATGCTCAGTGAACAGTGCTCCACCCTGTCCTGACAGCAGCATTACTGAGTGACCCTGAGCAGATGCAACCAACCCTTTCTATTAGAGTTTGGCAGGTTCATGCCTTGGGCTTTTTCCTGAGGTATAGAAGCAGGAAGTCTAATTAGTGATGGCAACATAGCATGTTCCATCATGTTTCTGTTTTGGTACTTGGTAGCAAAAGACATGGACCAGGAAAAGGATGTCTATAGGAAAGCAAGATTCAAAGCTTAATTTAGCCACAATGGACAGGCCTAGTCCTTCCTTGCAGGGTTATTGGGCTCAAATTCAATATCTTATTTATCTATTTTCAAATTTATATGCCATTCAATAGCCCGACAGGACTCTTTAAGTGACTTATGATATCATTATTCTGCTCACAGTACAAGTACTCGGAGAAGAGGGGAGGAAATCTGGGAGCAGAGTGGGCACGTTTAATAGGTATTAAATTCAGGTTTCACAAATCTGTGAAAGAGGATGGTTTTGGCCTGGTGCTGAAATGAAAATTGAGACAGTGCCAGGCAGACCTCTTTAGGAGGCCCATTTCAAGGTTGGGGCAGCCACCAAGAAACTCCTTCTAAATGCCATCCCTTTAACTTGCTTTAAGGATGGCTCTCTCGGAAGGGCTCATTCCCAGATCTCAGTGGGCAGGTAGGAGTATATTGGTAAAAATAGTCCTTCAGGTAACCAGATCCCAAGCCATTTAGGGCTTTGTATGTTAAAACAAACATTTTAAATTGGGCCTGGGCTTCAACTGGAAGCCAGTGTTATTTATAAAGAATAGGCGTTATGTGGGTATGCAGACTAACACCTGACACCAGATGCGCAGCCCTATTTTGGACCAGTTGACGTCCCCAGGCCATCTTCAGGGGCAGTCCTACACAGAGTTCATTCCAATAATCTAGTCAGGATGTTGCCAGTGCGTGAGTAACTGTGGCGAGGCTCTGTCTATCCAGATAAGGCTGCAATTGCTGTTTTTGCCACAGCTGGGAAAAGGCACTCCTGGCCACCAAGTCCATCTGAGACTCCAGTGAGAGTTTTGGGTCCAGGAGCAGTCCCATGTTGCAGACCCTGTCCTTTGGGGGAAGTGCGACCCCATTCAAGACAGGACAATGAGCATCTAATTCATCAGACAGATCATTAACTAATAGCACTTCTGCCTTACCTGGTTGGAGTTTCAATTTATTGGCCCTTCAGTAACAGTACCACCAGACCCAGGGGCTAGGTGAAATGGCTAAGTGGTAGTATTTGGTTGGGAAAAGAACTAGAATGGGGAATAGATATTAGGTTTCTGATCTCTCTTCTCCTTTGTGGGCATGTTGTCCCACTGCTATATTTCCCACTTCCCATCACCACCCCAGTGACTGCACCCCTTGGCTCCCCATCCCTTTTCATATACATAAGGTTGTCCTAAACCTGGCTAACCAACAGATAAGAAAATCCTAGGGGTGGAGAGGAAAAGAAAGGGGAGAGAGAGGAAGAGAATTTAAAAAAATACCTGAACTGCCCACTCAATTAAAAAAATTAAAATTAATTTTCAGAATAATTAAAAAACAATATTGAATTTCTTGGAGACAGAGCATGGTGCAGATACAAATAATAAGTAACTTTGGCAGCCATATCTTAGACAATAGATCAGTTCATATAGCATGACAGCCCACCAGGCATTACTGAACTCACCATTTCTGGACTTCATTTTGCACATTGCTCAGGGTCTGTCATGTTGTGGCAACCCAGGAAGCGGGGGTTAAACAACCCTAGAACAGACCTAAGGTTATGTGAGGATTGTTCGAATCTCACCATGTTTGCCAGGTTCTCATGACACAACAACTGCCAAATGCAAAGAGGCACCCACAACATGCTGTGCCATAGGAACCAGATGAGTAACTTGTGCCTGCTTCCTTAGGTAATCAAAGCATTTTTCTTTGGATGCTTCTGCTTTCAGTCTGGACCTTGTAGACACAGCTCTTCTTGGCTAAGCCAGCCTTCCCCAACATGGCACGCACCCCAGAATGTTTGCCCTTACAGCTTGCCTTTTCATTGGCCATTGTGCTGGCTGGGGCTGATGGAAGTTGTAGGTGAAAGCATCTGTAAGAGAAGGCTAGTTGAAGCAAAAGTCCAGTGCTGCTGCCACTTCACTGAAAAGCAGCGTGTGTCTTCTCTTTTCTGGGAATCCAGTTGATTGAACAAGTGAGGTATTTCACGCTTGCATTGTGGGGGAAATGCCAGCATCACTCTCTTGTACACATTTGAAGAACAGCACCCTTGTGCTTTTCTTTAGGTTGATCAAGTGGGGCTACTTAAGTTATACCATAAACGACCCCTTTTCTCTTGTAAAGCAGTGACCTGAACTTGTGTATGCTAGTAGTGGAAGTTGCCATAATGCAGCCTTCCCTGAGCAGGAGTCCCTTAGATGTGCTGGGTTCTAATTGAACAGTGGCCACATTGAGTGGAGATTAATGGGAATCATCATCCAACATATTGGCTGTGTTTATATATAATGTTAATGATGCTGCACTATTTATTTATTTATTATATGGCACATTCCCATCACACTTCAATAAAAGACACAGCCATCAAACCATGACATGCAATATATAACATCCAAAACATTCTAGAAACATAGCAA